GTATATCATCTTTGGAGAAATGTCTATTCAAGTCCTTTGCCCATTTTTAATCAGGTTATTTGTTTTGTTGTTGACTTGGGGGTTCTTTACATATTATGGATATTAACTCTTATGATATATTTCTCATATTTTAAAAGTTGCCTTTTCACTCTATTATGTTCTTAGGTTTAAAGAAATATAAGAATATTTTTGAGCATATTATTGACACATAATACAGCATATACTTCTTGAGGATAAATGGGAGACATTTTTCTTAGGATTCAGTAGCAGAAATAGCTAGTTTTCCTGTGAACAACTGGCTAGCCAGGATCCTCTGGGTGATGATGACACTAAGTAACAAAAGACTCAATGGTCACTCAACTGAAACACTGATGTCGAACTGCGTTTTGGACATTAGGTTCATAGTTTCCCTCTGCTCTGTAACCTTTGACTGATCTTCCCAAATATTTCTTAAAATTGCTTTATATTTTGAATATGTTAGCAATCTAAACTTATTTTTGAGTGGTAGAGTAGTTGATGTTATTTTTATTAGTTGCTAAGGCCATTATGTTTCACAAAGAAGGAAACTAAAGCTCGGCATCTATAAATAACTTTCTGAAGTCACATAATTATAAATGGTAGGAGCCAAGAGTCAATCCAGGGCATAGCTGTGGATCTCTCCAGAACACCAGGCTTCTTCTTCAAAGAGGGAACAAAAGTCCCAATCATGACACAAGAGTGTCCTTTGTGATGTGGTTGCTGTGTTTCCTGAGAGCTCATAGGAGGTGAGATCACTCTGCAAGAGTGGCCAGGGGAGGCTGGGACTTGAAAGATAGAAGAAGTGTGTGTGTGGAGGGGTGTTGGGAAATGACAATGAACAAAAATGTGAAAATAAATAAAATTGTGACCGAGAAGTACTGAACCTGGCTGCCTCACATGCCCCCTGTTGAGTACGGCAGAGACTCTCATAGAGAACAAGAGTGAAATAGAGCATAACATAGAGATTTCAGTGGAGGCTGCTAATTCTAGTTGAGAAATTTGGACTCAGTTTGGTAGGTGTCAGAGAGTCATGGAAAATTTTTCTGCAAGATTCCGCTTCAGGAAGATTCTTCCAGTAGTGTGTCTTAAGTAGGGTTCCCTAGAACCAGAGGCTGAGAAACTATTTTATTGGGGGCGGGGTCTCTTAAGTAAAACCTATAAGAGAATGAAGGAATCAGGAGAAGACAAGAAGTTAGGCAAAGATGAGGTTGAGCTAAAGTCTACGCTCAGCCTGATCTCCTAAGAAAGCTCTGGGATGTGAACTCAGAGTCATACTTTTCTCCATTGCTGGCTGAGGCCAACCCAGGCATCTCAGGGCAGGGTGGTTCCCACTGGGTTGAAGCAATCCTCAGGGGATGGGTAAGCCAAGCCCATGAGCACCTGACACTCACAGCTGAAGGATGGGTCGCTCTGCCCTGGTAGGCACCAGCCGAGCTCTATTATATGGCATTCTGAAGGAAGCATTAGAATTGTAGAAGTCGAAACATTATATGTAGATATGAAAGATAATACCACCTGAACTTGTATAATGGCTGTGTAGGTAAAATAATGGCTTCCCAAAAATGTCCACATCCCATTCCCCAAACCTGTTAATATGACACATTTAATGACAAAAAGAACTTTGCATAATTAAAGCTAAATATGTTAAAATGGGGAGATTATCTGGATAAGCTGAATGGCTCCAACCTAATCACATGGTTCCATAAAAGTGGAATGCTTTTCCCAGACTGAAGTTAGAGATGAGACATTGCTGGTTTTGAAGATATAGAAAAGGGGCCAGCCACCAAGAACCAGCCTCTAGATGCTAAAAGTCAAAAAAAGGGGGGGGGGGGTGGATTTCCCTAGAACTCTAGGAAGGAATGTAGCCCTATGACACCTTGGTTTTAGCCCAGGAAAACTCATGCAGAATTTCTAACTACAGAACTATAAGATAATAAATTGTCTTGTTTTAATTTGTTACAGCAGTAACAGAAAACTGGTATGAGCAAAGTAGTAGGAAATTGACAGAATTCACAGAAAAGTTTTAAAAGGTTTAAAAGTAGTATCAGTCTCGTTTATATTTTATCTTTCCATTTTAAGTAGAATTATTAATTCTTATCTTTTTAAGAATTCAGAGACTTCTTTTAAAAGTTACAGAAGTCATTTTAATGAAATCATAATCTAGAATGATAATAACATCAGTATTTTATAAAGGTTAAGAAAAAGATATCTTTAGTGAATTCCTCAAATTTTTAATGGAAGGTTAAAATGAAGAATATGTATTTATTTTTATTATTATATTAAAGACACAGGCGTTCGCTCAACACAAACTGTAAATCTTTCTGTTTGACAGATTTTTTAGTACCTGCCTGAGATTCTTTACTTACTGAAGAAAATGCAAAACTGTGAGCTTTGTGGTCACCAGAGGGCGCCATGGGGCAGGCTGTCCCTCTCCAAGGTTGGTTCCCAAGGCAAAGGATGGTGGTTATGACTGGAAGTCTGTATTTCTTGTGTGCTATCAGGTACTCTTGAAAATCAGGTGTGAGAGTGGGAACAATTTTTTTGTACTAACATAACTATTTTTTTCAATAATAGCTTATTTAGTATGACAATCGGTGTCTCCCTCAATAAAAATGAAAAATAATAAACGTGTAATAAATTTCAACTCTTTCTATAAAGTCTTCAAAAATATGAATATTAAATAAGAAAATAAAAATCAGCAATGTGTGTAACTTGGTGGAATGGAAACGCCTTGCTAGTACTTGGAAGAGAGAAGAAGTGAAGGGTAGGATGTGTCCTGAGGACAGGGAACCGAGTCTCCAGGCATCCACTGTGTTATCCAGTGAGGGCAAAGTCTATGTTCAGCTCGAAGAACAATTACTCTGCTCTTATCTCACCAAAAATGGTGTAGACACTAACCCAGCTGCAAGCCAGGGTCCAGAAAAAAGGGAAGGACAAGGAGAGTCACACAAGCTACTTCATGGCTCAGGCACCCAGGGCTGTGCGGGATATAATGGGAGGAGCAAATGAACCTAGAAATGGTGATGATTATATTTTTGTACTTAAAATGAACCTACGATATATCTTTAAGAGCGGGGATAATTACATGTCTGCAAACCGGAAGGAAGGTCATGGTATAAGGAGATCAGTTTTGGCAAAAACAAAACAGACGTACAGAGGAGGACCAGAAAAACAGGATAAAGCCAGACACCCTGTCCGCCACCTGTTGCACTTGCTATTGAACATTGTCATGATCTAGTTCTGCATGGAGTTAATACAGACAGAGATTTAAATAATTTTAATATTTTAGATGGTTTCTTAAAGGGAATTCATATTTAAGAATATATTAATAAATTTTATCTAGTGTATCATGTATATTTTTATTAAAATTCATAAGGTAAATTCTTATTTGGAATATAAAAATGCTAACTATTGTTTTTATAACAATAATATAAGTATTACATTAAAATGCCATGATTGTATGATTCTATGTTGTTACAATACTTTCTACTATTTTCTTTCTATCTGCCACCGAGTCAAATCCAAGACATTTTCTTGTATCTATATTCACCAAATACTGACGGCTATGTCTAGATGCTTCACCCTTTCCCAACTACATATCTCATGTCAGATTTTGTTTCAGCCAAAACAACATATCACAACAGATTGAGCGCAGAAGTAGATATGAAAATTCAGCAGTTTTCAATTAAGCCAGGCATTAAGGAGATTTTTTTTGTTAATCTTCACTTGAGAATATTCTTCCATTAATTCTTTGGTAGAGTAGAAGGGAGGGAGGGGGAGAGAGAGAGAGAGAAATATCGATGTGGGAGAGACACATCAACTAGTTGCTTCCCACACGACCCAGACAAGGGCCAGGAATTTAACCTGCAACCCAGGTATGTGCCCTTGACCGGGAATTGAACCTGAGACCCTTCAGTCCGCAAGCCAATGCTCTAACAGGTAAGCCAAACCGGTCAAGGCTAAAGAGATTTTTTAAACAGTAAAAAATATAACTTTCTCACAAATAGCTTATTTTGGAAAATAAAGTATTTTTTAAAATAAAAGTACTTTTGTTAATGTAATGGTTTTGTCACTGCTATTTTTTAGATAAATACATGCAAACTGTATATTAGTTTTAATTTCTAACATGGTAAATATTAATAGATATAATCTATATAAACTGAAGCGTTTGGGGGGTCCTCTATAATTTTTAAGATTGTAAAGGGGCCCTAAGACCAGAAAAACTTCTATTTTCTAAATGTATAACACTAAATCAGATTTTTCTTATGAGCAACAACGCCTTTAAACATGATTAACAAACAGTTCAGAGTAATCCAAAAAATAACTCTTGATGCTGTCCCAGCCTGCCAAATTTGGTCCCTCCCCCATTTTTCTAATTTTGGTAAATGGCACCATGGTTCACTTCGTTTCTCTCCCCCAAAGTGGGAACCATCACTGACTGCTCTCTTCTGCTGTTCCCAGATCTAATCCAGAGCAAGTCTGTAGATGCTCCTGCTAAAGCATGACCCGAATCCCGTCCCCACTCACCACCATCACAGCTATCACCAGGGCAAGGCATTAGCATATTATCTTGGCATCTTAAAATTATTTTTTTAAAAATACCAAGTAAGATTTACAAAGAGTAGCTATGGAAAAGAACAACTGTCTTTCATACCATCATCATCATAAATACAAGTAGAATCCAAATAGTTTATATAATACATATCATTAGTTTTTATTTTTAATATGTTTGTTCATGTTTATAGTGATTCAGTTTTCTCTGACCAAATCCAAAACCCTTAACTCAAAAGAATAGGTGATATTATATACTTCATTTAATAACTTTCATTCAAAAATCTACGTCTATAACTGAAAGTTTTAAAATATCAGCACCAAACTAATTATATTTGAATATCTTATGTTTCAGAAACTTTTCCATTTAGACAGAGGATTAAAACCTAAATTCTATATGTTCTTTTTGTTAGATGTATAGTTCAACTTACCTTATCGAGTTCATCTGAAATTGCAATACCTGCGATTCAAAAGAGATTTATAAAAATGTTTTAGAAGTGATCTTTAACAACTCAATGTTAAAAACAAAGGTGAAGCTCTATGTGTAAAACTCGTGTATTTTCCATTCAATTTTTTCTTTTTATTGATGCCTCAAAATAATGCGGTACCTCCTTTCTACTCATGAAAACAAATGAGGAATTCAATCAACTCTGACTGCATGAGCTGCTGGCACAATGCAAACGAGTCAACAAAAACAAAACAAGTACCAAACTGGTCGTTCGACGCAGAGCTGATGTGCACAGATAATTACAGGGATGGGATCTTTCTGTTATAAGGACAATCAAGTACAACTTAGCCCATTACAGTTTTGTTCCTGCTTATGAATTGATTTAGACTCTTAGAGTGATAAGGATTAAGGCAGAGTGGTGGTTGGGATCCTTTATTTTAATTCCCTTTGTTTACAGATGAGGACCCAGACTAGAGAGCTCCAGGAATTTGTCCCACAGCTTCTTAAGCCAATGGCTAAATGATGCTTCCTCACAACTCCCCTCTCACGTTCCACACGTTCCTCGCTGTACATGTGTCTGATTTCTGCCTTCACCATTCCTCCAATTGAAGTCAGCAATGTAAAAAGTTTACTCCTTAATTTATCTGCCTGTAATGATAAATGCAGTTAAGCTCCCTCTCTTGAAATGCTGCCCCACCCCCTTTCTATTCTTCTGCTTTGTCTCCTTCACAGGAATCCTGTTCTTTGGAGGAAGGGAGTCCTTTCCTGAAATGCCCAGGGGTCTTTGCTGAGCTGTCGTTCTAGTCAGTTGACAGACACTTCTCTTGGTTATCCAACCCATGCCACTGACATTTTATTTCTCCGTATGGTGATGATGACGAACAAATCTTTATCTCTAGCATAGACGTTCTTCCTGAGCTAGCTGCTGAATTCCTACTGGCATTTCAACCTCGACATGTCAGGCTAAAGACATCACCTTCCCTTCATGTCGCTCCCCCTTTTAGGAATGATGCTGTGCTTAGAGCTGAGCATGGGCCCCGAGGCCAGGCACTGGAGCTGGTGTGGCCAGCCCTCGGGTCTGGGGCATAGGACTGGGGCATAGGACGAGGAAATACGGTTTCGAACCCCAGTAGGGGGTGGGCAAAGAGACAAGGTCAAGTCTAAAGTCTGAAGTCCAAGTGAACAAAGAGAAAATAGGAACAGGATTGACGCTAACGTTCAGCAGACTATCAGGTACAAGATGGAATGAGCTGGGCTGCTGAAGCATCCTGAACACAGTCTCAGTAAATGTGCCTGAGTGAAGACACTCCTCCTGCCGGGGCACAGCATGTCTGTGGGGGCTGCACAGGCTCCTAGGTCCTCTCCCTCAGCACTAACCTGATACGTCAATAATGTACGAAGCACAAAGGTATCGCCCTTCTACATCTCAGGAGACGGCACCATTCTTCCCCTTGTAGGTACAACTGAAAACACAGATGTACCAGAGACTCATTCGTTATAGCAATATTCCATAAAATTATTTTTTGGGGATAAAAATTATTGGTAACTAAGCATTTTATGTATTACTACACTAAAAAAAAAAAGTCTAGCTACCACTATGGGAAGATTCAGTGAACTAAGCTTAACACTTATTCAAGGACTTGCTGTCTTAATTAGCTCCTTCACACAATTCAGGGAGAAAGGGCTTCAGGAAGAAGTAGCATTGCAGGTGACCAGTGCCTGTCCTGAGTGTATGTGCTGGAGAATCCTGATGGGTTTGCAGTGGAGAACCATATAAGACCAGACATCCCAAAGCCTTCGGAACAATTATAGACATTTATAAGGGCCTAACATAAGTACACATTTATGGATATTTGGGTTTTAAATATATATAAAAGTATAAATGGTCACTTGGAATAACTCAGATTTCAAGATAATGTAGGAAATTTCACAGAACACCAAATCATTTATGTCACAGTCTATAATATATTTAAAATAGTTATTCCAGTTCAGAAAAAAAACAAATATATATTCTGCATGTTTATATTTACATTTAATACAACAAAAATGTTTCTTTCTAATATGAATTCAAGCTTCAAACTGAATTTGTTGTTTAAAAATAAGTATTTAAAAGATTTAATCTACTTTAAAAGAGGAATAGAGTAGATACATAAAACGAAATTATCTTTTTCATTCAAAGTCATGATACTTAGAAACCTTGAGTTATATAACCCATGATTTCATTGTCTGAGACACTCTTGATTATTTTTTAACTTTGCACATTAATACCCCTGGCCCCTCAAAAAGAGTTTTATCATTAAATTTTTAGAAAGCTATCAGTTGATCTTTAACTTTTTTTTTACACCTCAGTTTATAAATCCATTATTCATAAAGATAGCAATAACACTGCACCTACCTAGACTGTAGCCAAGAACGAGTAAGTCAAAAGGCCTTTGAATAGTCAAAATCTGTGTCTCACAGAACTTGCCTGTCACTCATGAGCCGGCTCCTTGGATCCCCTGCCCCCTGACCTTCACCCTCAGCTTTAGCAACTATCAAAAGCCGTTGCGCAGAGCCCAGAAACGTTACCAGTGAAAAGTGGAGATGAACAGAAAGGCTGCCATGAAGATACACTAACTCGGGTCCGAGAATAAAACTCAAACTAGATAAATGGGAAAGTTGCCCTGGGGAAGAAATGATGCCTCTTGTTTTGGTTTCAAGTGTTCGGGCAGATATATTTTGTTCAGATACTCGTTATATTTTTTAAACATTTACATATTTTGATAATTTTGCCTAATAAATTATTTAACTAACTCTATTCTATCATACATAGTTCTTTCTGCTCCCTATTATCAATGTCAAGTTACCTAGAGTATTTTTCACTCTTTGTTATTTCAGTTTTAATCAAAGCTTAAATGGACTAAAGGTATTTGAAAGAATTTTTAAAAAATGCTTCACAAGGACACATGAAGCTCCAACAGGAACCGTTTACAATGAGCAGCCGGAAGTCTTCCTGGCGCCTAGCACACATTCACAGCTATTCACTAACTCTTAGAAGCCACCCTACTTTAAGATAGTATTTCTAAAGTATGCAGGAACTCGGGAGCAGGAAATGTGGAAGAGAAAATGCAGTGAGTGGGTTGCTGTGCTCGGTTGTAAGGGAGAAAGGCCCGGATTCGACTGTGGAACCCGGGGCAGGAACACCTGTCTTCCTGAACCGCACTGAGACCTTTAAGGAAATGCTGTCCAATCAGAGCAGCGCACGGGGCTACAAGTCCTTGCAGCAGAGAAGTCCCCTTGCCCCCGCTACCAAGACTTCCATCTTCATTGAAGCTTCACCCTTTATGTATCAACAATACAGATTTTCTTTTCTTGGAAACGCCTTCTTACACACGCTTGTCTCTCTGCCAGGAACAGCCCTCTCCGTGACACGTCTCACTCTCCTGTCTCCTTAGCTTTACCTTTCATCCTTCTAGACTCTATTCTGGTATATCCCCCATCAGGTTGTTCCTAAGTCCCCTTTTGGGGGCTCTTCTATGCCCCCACAACTTTCCTAAGGCACCCTTCACAAGGCCTTTCACAAATATATCCCCAATGAAAGGTAAATTGGGGTCTGGGTGCATGTATTAATCATCTCTGTACTCCCACAAAAAACGTCTGGAGAATAGATAAATGAATGTCAGGATAAATGAACAAATAATTGCCACATTATCTGCTTCGATTTTCACTCATAGGGTGTTATTTTCTAACTCAGCGATTCTCAACCAGTGAGCCGCAAGAAATTCAAAAACATGCACTGCCTGCTATTCAGTCGGGGCACTGACCTCTTCTCCCTCAGACTGTCAACTCTACAACAAATAAAAAATAACAACAGCCAGCACAACAATAACCGTCCAGTGTGATTGAATGAAAATTATACCTACTTATTTGTCAGATCGGCAAAAAATATAATAAAATTTTAGTGATTAGTTTATGTGTTCCATGAGATGAAAAAGGTTGAAAGTCGCTGCTCTAACTTCTCAGGCTGTTTGTCAGATAAGACTTTCTGAGTATGTTTTTGACCGACAAAGAAAGTCAGGTATATTTTTTGTGGCTGAGTGCAGGTTGCTATTGTCAGTCATGGAGCACAAAGATCTGTCCACTATTCTCCCAAGAACTAGACATTTTTCTCTGGTAAAGCCCCAGCCAGTGTTTTCATGTGAACCCTGATCTGCAGACCGATATCTGGGTGGACTGAAGATTCTCATCCGGTCATCACCTTATTTCAACGAAATCTGCCACAAGTACCCAAAACAAAACATTGGGCTCAGAAAGTACCAGAAGCCTGGCAACCCTGGGAGCACATCTCACTGAGCAAAGGGTCATGTGGACCAATGTCATATAATAGAGGACCATGCTCTTTAGCTTTTAGTTAGTTTATTTATTTACCTACTTATTTACCTATTTATTGTTAAGCATAATCCCTTCAATAGATAAGCCCCCATAAAAGCCAAAGATATTAAATCTATAAACATCAAAACACATGTACTCTGAGATCCGAGGTCCCACACTTAAGAGAAGCAGAAGCAGTGAAGAGAGAATAAAGATGGGGTCTCAGAGGTGAGGGGTCAGGAAGAAACAGAATCTTGACTACATTGTGCACTAATCACTGCACCTTGGGCTGGGGAGTCCAGGCTCAGAGGGCCCTGCGTGCATGAAGGTCCAAGTCCAGAGGGGATAAGTGAAAATTAGATCATAGCAGATACGTTTGTCGAGAGAAAAGCATAGAAGCACCAAAAGACAGGCTCCAAATTCAGTCCAGAGGAGGACAACAACACGGAAATCAGCGTGGAGGAAAGTCCTGAGCTGAGGTGAGCGCAGGAGGACTTTGCTTGGGGGAAGTGGAAGCAGTTGAGGGACGCGGAGGGGAGGTTTCAGGGCACGTGGTCAGTGTAAGCAAATGCACGAAAAGAAGAACATCAGTGAAGGTGGACAACACCTGTGTTGCTGGTACACAGACAGCCTGATAAGCATGAGAGGTGATACCAGAGACATGACGAGGGGCCAGGCCATGAAGCACCTTCTAAGAGGTTTTAGGAAGCCACTGAACATTTGTGATGAGTGAGTGTCAGGTTTTCACTTTAGATCCGTCACACTGATGGCAGCGAGGCCTGACTGGCAGAACAAGAGTGTGGCGAGATGATTATTTGTTCCTCAAATCATTTCAATATTTCTCCTGGGCACATGAGCCAGTCTGTATTTCTCGGCCTCCTTACTCTTAGCTGTGGAGTGTGGGCAGCCATAAGGCTTTATGCTTCCACCTCCAGGCATTAGCAACCTCTCCCATGATCCTCTAATCCCTCCTTCTGCTTTGGCAGGACCCTGGGAGTCATGTGCTGAAGATGACAGAATGACAGATGGAAGTAGTCTGCACCACTGGCTAACTCCACAAGCTATTCCATGAGTGAGAAAGCACTTGTATTGTACGAAGCCACAGGATTTTGGCCATGAGACTCCCCTAACATAAGGCTATGGCCATCTAGCCAGATACAAACTCAGTAAGGGCAGGAATTACCCCTGTTTTTCCTGACATGGGGAAGGAATGAAATGGAACATGTTAAATAGAGAAATCAATTATCTTGTCAGTGTCACTGCAAGTGTGAACTAGGAGGTACTATTAGAGCCAGAGAAGAGAATCATACCCAACACATATCTTAGAGGGAAAATGAGCAGGATGTGGTAAGAATTAGTCTTGAACAGTTAAGGGGGAGAGAGGCGTTCAGAAGGGCTCCAGTTTCAGTGGATTGGTAAGTGATGGTGCCACCATCTGAGATAGAGCACGTATAAGAATGGTCACATTTGAATAGGGAGGTATGATCTACTCTAATATAGTAATTTAGCACAGCAGTGAGCTATCCAAGTGGAGATATGTTTTAAGTATTTTGTTTCAAAAGTATATAGAGTCTGAATGGGAAATACAGTTAGTCTTCATCTAACGTCACCGATAGGTTCTGCAACTTTAGGCAAAATGACATATAATAAAACCAATTTACCATAGGCTAATTGATATAAACAAAAGTTTCTATGGCATCTCATCAAGATTTATACCTTATCCTATAGTATGTGAAATGCTTATGTTAACATACTATTATAAGGATTAGGTTCTTTTCATGAGCATGCTATAGTAACAAACTGAAAACTCACTTTATCATTGTTTGCTCCAAAAGTAAATCATAGGTGGCAGAGCAAAACCTCTAACCTAGGCACTTGGGTTACAGAATCATTGCTTTTACCAAAAGTTCAGTATAAGGCACTGTGCAAGGCTCTGAAAGGATTCTAAGAAGAATCTGTCCCAGTTACTATTTTTAAGAAATGTAGAGACATTAAAAACTCATGGAAGCAATATGTATGTGTATTAAGATGACACAAAATTAAGGGCTGCAAAAGAGAAGAGAGAATGAGATACCATTAGGTGTACACCTGACCTTGGTTAACAGAGACATTGTAGAGAGAGGGAGTCAAATAACCATGGGGGGAGGGGAGGTATATCTTCTCCTACTCTCTATAACCAGTCTTCCCATGAATCTGTGTGATATGCGAGATCGATCCTCAGTTCTAATATCATGTCCTTAGAAATCCTCAACTTTTCACATAATTTTAATGAAGATGTTGGAAATAGATTACCAGCAATATTAATGAACGTTTTTACTATAATACTGGTTAGGAATTTCAATTATCGTTAAGTAACTGAACTTACTTCGAGAGAGCTTCTCAAGGGCTTTTCCCAGCTTCTGGCTCTCTTGAAGGATGTGGTTCAATTCATCAAAATCACAGTTTTCTGGTTTAGTTCGCCAGTTCCACTTAGGATGATCTACTGACCTTGGCACTACGTTTAAAAAAAATGATTACTTCATAAGCATGCTACATAGTGGTAAAACTTAACTATTCATCATTATGTGAAAGATTGTATCAAGATCAATGTATAGAATAAAAATTTTCACTTGAAAATGGTTTTCTTGGGAGCAAACAGTGGTAAAGTTATAAAGCTGAGTTTTAAGAAATGTTTTAAATGAACAAGAAAAGGGAAATGTGATGGTGTTTATAGAAAAAAGAAAATTTAGGTACTGATTTAAAACTAATAATTTATATAACTTAAGAAAAACATACAAGTAGATTTTGCCTACGTTTTAGCTACTTAAAATAATCACTAACTTCTTTATCAGCAATTAGTAATATTTCGAAGACATTCTTGCTCCCTTCTAATAAAACAGAGGAGACTGTATTTACCTTAATTTCCCTCCAAATTCCAAATTACCACTAACATTATGTTACAGTAAAGGAATATTTTTGGTCAAAGAATTGGTTAAATAAGGAGATAAGACATTATTAAGCAATAAATAGCATCATAGTTTATTATAAGATGCAGAATGGATTGATGAGAATACTGAAGCTAGAGAATACTGAAACCTAGTCCCTGAAGAGAAAGATGTCCCCCAAACGTGGGCATTTCAGAATATACTAGTTAAGCATTAAAGCATTTATCAAGGAGAACCAATGACAAAATAAGGACACAAAACTTTGTTTTTCATATTAGAAGAATTCACTAAATGTCCAGTATAGTTCAAGGTATAGATAGTATCACTAAATTTTACAACAGTAACAATAAAGAAAAGATCTTAAAGCTTTCAGAGACAAAAATAGAAATCAAATTGTCATCATATTCCTCAATAGTAACACTTCTCCCTAGAAGACACAGGAGAAATTCCTTCAAAATTTCAACTGAAGATTAATTCCAACTTATAATTTTATACCCAACTAAAGGATCAATGAAGATACTTGTAAGGACTCAAAATTTATCTTGCAAGCAGTTTTATTTCTCTAGAAAGTTTCTAGTGGAGGTGCTCCACCAAAATGAAAAATGGAAAGACTTGGGACTGAGAGAATAGGTGATCCTCCATAAGATAAAGGAGAAGGGATCCCCAGGATGACAGTGAAGAACAATCTTGGGAGACATCTGAGAAAGCAGTTAGAATCAAGGAGCCAAGACTAGAGCAAGAGGACAGAGGGCTAGAGGAGAGAGGGATCTAACATTTTTCAAATGAAATAAAGTATAAAATATAAAATAAAATAAGACAAAGTTTAGGATCACTTGATGTATTTGATCATATTGAGAGTATTTAATACTTTAATGCAGGATTTGGTGAAGCATTAGTGATGGTACATGGAAAACAAACAGAAAAACTAGTCAATTATTCATTCTAATTAATAGTCAACTCATAACAAACTAATAGTTGGACATCTTATGTCTGTACTGTGAAAAGACTAATTAATGTAGTGTTACTAATAATGAAGAGGATATATTTAACCAACATTTGAAATATCTGTATGACTGTAGTAGGATGCTGAGATGGGCCTGGGTATAAAGCACAGAATCTTAGAAGGAGGTCAAGAGATGATGCCTTAAATTTAAAACCTAAAAGAGAACCACGTAAGTATCTTTATGTTTAGATATCTAGACTTATGTACCAAAAGCAACATCTAAAAAAGTTAAAAGTTGTTCCACATTAGAAGCAGAACAGAGAGAAAGAAGAACAGTTGCCTTGTAGTAACTAATACATTACTTTTTAAACCATACATATTTTTGTTTTGATAAAAATAAAACAAAATTTTAAATATTTATATGGTAAAGCTATAAGAAAAACAGACTGTTGAAATATTTTTTTGCCACCTATTTAAAAAATAATCTGGCATTATCTATTATAATAAAAAATACACTGCTCTGGCAGGGTGGCTCAGTTGGAACATTGCCCAGTACAAAAAAAGGTTGCAGGTTTGATTCCTGGGCAGGGCACATACCTAGGCAACTGATTGATGTTTCTCTCTCACATCAATGTTTCTCTTTCTCTAAAAATTAATAAAAACATATCCTCAGGTGAAGATTAAAAATATATATATATATGTATGTGTGTGTGTGTGTGCATATATATATACATATATATGAATATATATATATACACACTGACCCTATGACCCAGCAATTTCATATCTGATAAATTATAATGAATAAAAACACCTATACTTATGTATAAATTATAAGATTGTTTATTTTATCAGTAAGTGCAAGATATTATTTTTTTATTTCAGCAGTTTGTGGTGGGAAAACTTTGAAATAATTTAATGTCCTTCAATAGGGGAATAAATAAATTAAGGCACATTCACACTATGACACATTATATACTTATTAAACAAAGTAACTTAGATCTATGTTTATTAGCATGGAGATATGCCCATAATGCATTTCAAAATAATAAATCAAATTTACTTACGTTTACAGGTTAAAGCCAGTTTTTATAAAGGAAATCAACTCACATATATTTTGTGTTAGTTTATACAAAGAAAATGATGTAAAAATGCAACTCTTTTCAAAAGATGTAAAAAAATACAAACTATTTCTGAGGAAATAGAATTAGAGTAAACTGAAGGAAGAAAGACTATCTTTCTACATGTTTGTATTTTTTTAATTGTCAAAATAAGCAAATATTACTTCTATAATTTAAATAAATAAATAGAACACAGTCACTTCCTCTGTGTTTCTTTGTTTAATGGACTCTAGAATAGTAACGTCAGCTAACATCAGCACACTGGTGTTCAAACAGTGGAGGGGACAGAGTGACTGAGATAGATGGTTCTAGAAAAGACTTCCCAGCATACTGCTGTTATCCCACAGGTCATTCTCCAGGGCATCCAGCCCTGATATAGGGGAGAGAAACTCAGAAAAGAAAGCAGATAAAACTATATTTGTACCATATCCTTCAAAAGATTGTCACTTTTGTTAATTTTCACTGAGCAATTGCTTCTAATCTGCATCATTGCATTATCTAATTTTCCTGGAAATTACCATATGCTATCAAAAGCTCTCTCTCTCTTTTACTTTAAAAAATAAGAGAATAATTTTTTTTTAAATCAGTCCCAATTAATATTCCTGAATAACCACCAGACATGGCCAGATGCCAAACCATCCCAGCTCTTGCAGACCTACCAGCTGAATGCGGAGAATGGCCCAGTCAATCCACCAAATCATGAGAAATTAAAAGTTGCTGTTTTTTCAAGCCTTTGAGTTTTAGGGAGGATATATGAAGCAACGGAGAACTGATACAACACTCAAGGACTTGCCTCAGCAACTTTCCAGAGGAACTAAAGAAAAATGTTTTAAATATTTTGCAGCTTGTAATGATTTTATATATATATCCCAATTTATCAAGGAAACCAAATCTAGGACAACCAAGGCCACAGGATGATCATGGGCTAATCAACCACACCAGGTGATTTCAGAAGAAGTTTTGATAAATAATGGAAGGACACAGACTCCAGATGAGAACATTTCTAAAGGTTGATGGATTAAAAACCTTACTTAGTTATAAATGAATCTTAAAACTGACAACTACAATTTAAACACACTTTAAAAAAATACTCTTGGGAGAAATGAAAAACAGCAGAACAGCATCAATAACATAATATGACCCATATTCGGTGCAGAATCTGAGAGATGACGAGTCTGTGACCTAAATGAGGCAAAGTTCACCCCCAGTGCAGGGGTCCATCCACAGTACCCTGCCAATGGCATCTCCCATTGGTCCCTAGGAGCTTGCTACTTCATACACCAGCCTGTTATATATTGAGCAGGGCTAATTTTGAACAATTTTTTATTATACTAATCAAATTCTGACTCACTGCGACCTCCACCAAAAGTTTCTATCTATGGATTAAAAGTAAATGTACTATTTCCTCCAAATGATTTTACCAATAAAACTGCTAATAGTTAATAATAATTTCTTATGTCTATGATTTTGAAGGAGATTAGAGTCTAGTTTTCTCTTCTGTAATGTCCTTTACATTTGTTTTAACAACAGGGCTATGCGGGCCCCATAAAATGAGTTGGAACATATACTCTTCTCCTTCTGGTATTATGTTTTCTTTAAGTGTTTGAATTCTCCTGTGAAGCTATCTTGGCATGAAATTCTCTTTGTGGGAAACTGTTTGAGGGTAATTTTATTTATTTTTAATCGACATAGGACATTTCAATATTTTCATTTCTTCTTGAATCAGATTTAGTCGTTTCTGTCTGTCAAGGAATTAGCTTCATCCTAAAATTTCTATTTTGTTTCTCAAAATATTGTGCAATTTCCTCTGTGATGTTCTTCTTGGTTCACAGATTATTTGAAAATATATTAACTTTGAAATGTTTTCAGGGAAGTTTTCAGGTTTGTTATAACTTAATTTTAATTTAATATAATTTTGGCAGCAAACATATTTCATATAACTTCAATAATTCCTTATGATATGGCATATGGTCATCGTGATGAATAGTCCATCTGGCATTGAAAATTATATATATTTTAACTTCACTGAGTATATCCTAAATGTCAAGTAAACATCAAATACAAAATGGTAGGTTTAAGAACAAAAATGTCAATAATTACAAATGTAAATGTACTAAACATCTCAATTATAAAGCAAAGATTTTCAAGCTAGATTTAAAAAAGGTATAGGTTATTTACAAGACACATTTTAAACATACAGATACAAATAGTTTAAAATACTAAACATAAAGAAACCTTAATGGCTATATAGAATTCAAGATGAAGGGTATTACTAGTATTACTAGAGATAAAGAGGACCCAGTGACAGAGTTCCCAATGACATGGAAAGAAAAGTTTATAGAACTAGAAGGAGATAAGACAGATACAATAAAGAAACCCAAAATATACATATAATTTTCAAAGCCATATGGAATATTTATTAAGATAGTGTTCAAATCGTTCATACACTTACTCGTTAATTTTGCTCTAAAAAGCTAACAGTTGGGTGGAACCAGAGCTGACATGGACAGACAGAGGTATCATCAGCTGTCAGACCACCAGCAACATTCTGTGACTTGGCAGCATCTTGAACAGAGCACTGGCGCTGCAGAATGAGCAGCCTTTAGCTTTCTTCCCTCAAGCTGATGGGATCCAGTACTGACCCCTTGAAAATTAGTAAGCCTCTGGGGTTATGGATTTATCACTGGTGGTGGTGGGGGAGGGGCAATAAGAAAGAAGGGAATGAAGGAGGGAGGGAAAGAGTGAGACAGACAGACAGAAAGAGGGTGAAGAGAGAAATAAATATAAGGGCATCAGTAACCAATAATAAGTAGGACTTCGGGGAAATAATAGGTGAAGGACTTCATAAAATGTTGTTAAATGTTTTGAAAACAAATCTCCTTCACTCCTCTAAAATATTTAGTTTGCTTTTATGTACTTTATTAAACGTGGGGTGGGTGTCCCCTTGAACATAACACATTGCTGCAACTGGTCCTGAGAGAAAAGGGACCAATCCAGGCAATATCCATTCTTAAGAGAGTGCACTCAGGGAGGTCTGATCCACGCACATGCAGGGGTCGGGTGGAGGGCTACGGGGAGCAAGTGGGGGTCATCTGTAATACTGTCAACAACAAAAGATAAATTTAAAAGAATATGAAAAAGTTACCAGACATAGAGCTCAATGTTAACGCTGAAATAAATTTAAAAATTCATTAGAATTAATAGCCAGGTACAAAGTTTGGCTTCAATTCTTACCTTTTTTTTTTTCATTTTGTTAATAACATAGACTGACACACATTAAGTATTTTTGAATGACAAACGTCCTTACATGATTTGGATTCTGGTGATGGTGGAGAAATATTAGACACAGCAAGGTCACTTTTTGACTTTTTTGGCTTCTTTGCATTTAATTGCCAAGGCTTATCATAGCTTCTGAAATCCCTTCTTGTTCCTTTATGTTCTGTTAAAACAAACAAACAAAATATATATATACAAATATATGCTAATAATAAGTGATATCAAGATTCATAAAAAACTAAATTCATGAGTTCATTAGATATACTCAGCAAAACCTATAGGTCACTTTATATTAAAAATATTGCAAATATCCAAAAGCATTTCTTGCTTAATTTCCCCTGTAAATTTCAGTTATCAATTTGATATTACTCAATTTGTATAGTAACATGAATAAGATCATTTTAAACTGGAATTATTTGCAAGGTTTTTTAAGGCATGGATTACCATTACTTAAAATAACATTATTTAAATGTTGCCATAGAAGAAAGCATTGTATTCCGTTGACAATAAAAGCCACTACACATTTAAGTAAAATTTACTGATGTTAGCTTATCCATTATTTACAATGACACATAAAACTGACATTCACCTAAATCTCTTCTATAGGTTCACATTGTTTTCTACTTTTCTCTTTTTTAAAAACAAAAAATATGTTTTTAATGATATTTTAGAGAAAGAGGAAGGGAGCGGGAGGTGGGAGAGACAGAAACAGTGATGTGAGAGAGATACATCCGCTGGCTGCCTCCTGCATGCCCTCTACTGGGGATTGAGCCCACAACCTGGTATGTGCCCTGACTGGGAATTAAACCAGTAACCTCTTGGTGCGTGGGATGACAGCCAACCAACTAAGCTACACCAGACAAGGCCTACTTCTCTCTTTAAGAAAGATTAATTCAACCAACTTTGTTGAAAGTTATAGTTTCTGTTCAAAGGTGGTCAATGTCATAACAATTCCCAAATTAAATAATCTTTTCCAGAGTTCATCCCTCTTGGCTTCTTTACCAAGCATTTCATCTTTTTTAGACAGACTTAACTTTGCATCCCATTAACCTGAGTACTCCTTTTCTGTCTCATTTGTTGCTTCCTTATCTTCCTCTTTCATCTAGGTGGCATTCTTTAGGGTTTCCTTCTGTCTTCTTGTTTAAATTTACAAGTTTTCAAATCATCCTAGCTTTATGAATGACTCATACATCTTTCTCTGGCCGTTCATTTATAAATACCAAGTAGACATCATGAGACTCCTCTGATGCTCATGTTCAAGCTGTACTGAACTAGGTGTCGACCAGGTTTTCCACCTCCAATATTCCATTAAATACCAAAAGAGGTATAAATATTCTAAAACACTAGAAACTGAAATATTAGTCAGAACCCAGGAAGTATTTCTATAGATAGGATTAAGACAAAAGATAGACAAATCAGAAAGATACTGGAGGATTTCAAAACATCCACATTCCTTGCCCCTATCTCAGAGTTCTCTCCTTATTCATAATCTCTCAGAATTTTTCTTCCTGCATCCATCCTAGCAACAAATTTTTTTCTAATTCAATATGGGTAAAGGAATAACAAATACTGTGGATAATATTGCATCTCATGATACAAAGAAAAGCTAAAAGAAATCGGAGAGAAAAAAATACATTGGATTTTGTGGCTTTTTAAATTCTTGACTACTGGCAAGGGAAAAAAATCACATTAATTTAAATAATCTAGTAATAATATTGCTCTTATTTAGTTGTTTGAGAAGAGGTATGAGACAGAAATTCACTCATCATCTTAGCAGAGACCCATGGGATTCAACTGATACTGGAAATTTTATTCGCAGCTATGATTTCACTTGTCTCTCTACTAATTTTAAAAAGGATTCAAAAAATTCCAAGCTTTATGGTGAGAGGACAAATTGGAATCCATCTATACCTTTATTGACAAACCTTAAGTTAGATAAACACTCCTCATTTATATTTGAATAAACAAAAATATATGATTTTAAGAAAATAATTCAATGTACAAAGCAAGAATATAACATTCAAGATACAAAGGAAACTGATAATTTTTTTAACAAAAGATTCATTATTGAAAACGTTCAAATTTTAGAATGTGGCTAATGTCAATAAAAATAAAAGAAAATGTATTTTATGAACCAAAAAGAAATGAGAGAGGAGACAGGCTAACTAACCTACAATAAAAATATTATTGCAGACACAGAAATACTGATAGGAAGCAGAAATACAGTACAAATGTTTAAATTTGTGTTCAAAGCCAGAAAGAGAAAGCTGATACTGGAGAAAATTGAATCAGTGACACAGAGAACACATTCACAGATAAATCTCCCTAGAAGTTAGTCTATAACGAAAGGCAAATACCCCGTAAAGTGAAATGAGAGGAAGTGACAACAGTATTTGCACACACTTGATTTCCCTTAAAAAGAAATCACTGCTGGTGGGAATGCAGACTGGTGCAACCACTGTGGAAAACAATATGGTGTTACCTCAAAAAATTAAAAATTGAACTTCCATTTGACCCAGTGATCCCACTTCTAGGAATATACCCTTAGAAACCTGAAACACCAATCAGGAAGAATATATGTACCCTCATGTTCATAGCAGCACTATTTACAATAGCTAAGATCTGGAAACAGCCCAAGTGTCCATCAGTAGACGAATGGATAAAAAAGCTGTGGTACATATACACAATGGAGTACTATGCAGTGGTAAGAAAGAAAGATCTCTTATCCTTTGAGATGACACGGAGGGACCTGGAAAGTATTATCCTAAGTGAAATAAGCCAAGCAGAAAAAGACAAATACCACACGATCTCACTTATATACGGAATATAATGAACATAACAGTCTGAGGAATACGGTAGACCCAGAAACATGGAAGTAGGGCACAGACTGACATCCCTCAGAAGAGGGGGTGGGAAGGTGGGAAGAGATAAACCACAGAACTTACATGCATGTATGCATGATCAATGGACTTAGACAACTAAGCCGGGGACGGGGTGGGGGTGGGGTGAGGAGGGGGGTGCCAATGGGGTAAAAAAGGTAAAATATCTGTAACAAAAAAATAAATAAAAAATTTAAAAAAAAAAAAGAAATCAAAACAATTATAATAGAAGAAACAACTAAGCACATAAACAGGAAACTGTTCTAGGCTTAAGACCTCCATTTGCCGATTGAAAGGATTCAGTGAATACAAGGAAAAGTTTAAAAAAGAGAGAAAGACACTTAGATGTATTCCCAGTAAATTTCTGAGCATCAAAAACAAAGAGAAAGCAACTCCCATCAGTGTTTACAACGAATAATTAGAATACCCAAAAAAGAATGAAAGTAAGACTGCTTTCAGGTTTGTCCTGGACAATGTTAATTTATAAACTTTTGAAAAGATGTTGTGTCCTAAGTTGCTAGATATACTTAAAGGCCATAGGAGGACATTTTAAGTTATTTTCAAAAAGTATCACACCCATATACTTTGAACATTGAGATATTTTTCTAGCTAATTGGAATATATGCCAGAAGAAACCATTCAAAATTGCAGTCAAGGTTTAAACTGGCCTTATTGACTGTCATCTGAACTAAAATTTCTACAGTTATTCATACTCAAAAATTATTCTGTGCTCCCCTTCTCCCTTTTGTCATACTCTGCCCTCCAAAATGTTTCCACTTCACCTTCTGGAACATACATTTCACGGTAAACAAACACTCTCCTGTTCTCAATCCCCTCACGTCTTCAGAGACACCTCATTCCCCCCGTGAGAGCACCCCGTGCTCCGCCGCTTCTGGCGTGGAGGGTGTTCATTGCTCCACGTGGGACTCACCACAGGCTGGGTCTCCCTGGTCCATCAGTGTTAAGCTGGAAGTCCCTACTGCCTTGCGGTTAATGCTGCCTGTGTCCACCACTCAACACTCTTCATTACTGCCATCGTTCTGCCGCTGATTATGCTCGAAGCCCTACTCTCAATATTGGCACAGTCTCCCTTGACCTTTCAACAACTTGGATGAAACCCTGGTGACATCTTAATCATTAAGCCTTAGATTTCTTTGTCATCCTCAGCTTTAAAAAGCTTCCCCTCCCTGATCCTTAAGACAGTCCCAAACGAAGGCCACCCACAGGACTTCTCTTTATCTGGAATCATTCCACCTCAAAAGGCTCACATAGCACAGCCTGCCGTCCTGTGCCTCTCACATTTCACTGCCCCTACACGCGCTGGCCTCCTAAACGTCCTCAGCTCTGCTTTGCTTTTCACGTCTAGCCCTTTTCCTGTCCTTGCTCACTTCCCTCTCACACCAGGCCACATGCTTCAGTGCCTTACACAATTTTCACACAAAGGTCTTCAACTCGTTTGCAAAACTCTCCTTCCACCCTCCACCTTCACAGTGGCACAACCACAATTCTCGGTCAGTCCCTCCAACTCTTTTCTCTGCTCCCCTCCCAGTACTTCTGGGCACTGAAAAATCATAATCTTACTAATGGTTTCCATGATGAATTCATTATATCTTCAACTTAAAATAGGACACAGAACTCCCTATAGTCTTTTTTTATTCTCCTTTTACCATTCTTTTTCCTTTCCCTTGATGATTTTTCACAATTGGCATCACTCACTGCAGTGTTCCCTATCCAGTCGCCAACCCTTTTGTCCTCACTGAACAACCTCACTTCTCAATCAACAGACAGAATTTTAGGTATCAGAAATGACCTCACACTGGCCTTCTCCCAGTCCACCTCTTATTCAATCTATTAACATAACCACAACTTCTTCCATTCTTTTACTCCCATGGTTTTAATGATTTTGTGTGTGATATGAATGCCTCATCTATGACTCCTGCCTTGACCCATCCCAAAAGTTTTAGACTCATATCTGCCAGATGGAATTATCTACTAATATGCCCACAAGAAGTTCAAAGTCATCAGCGGGAACAAGACTTATTGTCATTCATAAACTTAGTCCTCTTAGTAAACTGGGAGCTATAATAATATCTACCCCTCCTTCACCCTCTCTAAGCAATGTGTCATTAAGCACTTGTGCCAGTCAGAATTCTAAGGTGATCCCCAGGATCTCTGATCCCTAATGTTATATCTTATGTAATTCCCTCCCCTTGAATGTAGATAGGATCTTTGACTACTTCAAACCAATAGAATATGGCAATGATAGGATTCCAATGGTATGATTATGTTATGTTACATAGGACTCCGTCTTATTAAACTTGAATGAGAGAAATTCCCTTGCTGCTTTTAAAGAAGTTAGCTGCCCTAAAGTGAGAGAGGCATGTGGCAAAGAACTGCAGGTTGCATCAAGGAGTTAGTTGAGAGCAACTCTGGATTGAAATCCAGCAAGAAACAGGGACCCCAGTCATACAGCTACAAGGAAATTAATCCTGCCAATAACCTGAATGTGTTTGCAAGACGGTTATTCTGTCTTATTCCACACTCCAGATGTGAATGTAGCCCAGCCAATATCTTGATTTTCAGGCTTCTGAGATTAAACAAAATATCTACTTAGGCCATACAGATTTATGACCCATGGAAACTGTGAGATACTAAACATATGCTGATTAAAGCTGCAGAGTTTAATACACTACTGCCTCTTTAGATACTATAATTTATAAGTATAGGCTCATATGAGCTTCACTGGGATCACAGATGTTCAACTGGTCTGCCTTAACATGATGAGTGCCTTCTTTGTACCTACAAACCAGAGTCCATGCCTATATACCCAATCTACTCAGAGCCTAAACCCAAGAAAATGAGGCCAGGAAAAATCAAGAGTTCCCTCCTTTGTACACCATAAGCTCATATCTTAGTTTCCTACATGATGCAGATAACTTCCATATGGATAACTGACATCAGAGATGTCTACATTCCTCAAGGAATCCCCTAAACCAGAGGTTCTCAACCTTCCTAAAGTTGCAACCGTTTAATACAGTTCCTCATGTTGTGGTGACCGCCAACCATAAAATTATTTTTGTTGCTACTTCATAACTGTAATTTTGCTACTGTTATGTCTTAGGTGACCCCTGTAAAAGGGTCGTTGGACCCCCAAAGAGGTCGCTACCCACAGGTTGAGAACCGCTGCTAAACCCTATGTACTTTAGTGTGGTTTTGAGACATGGTCTCAAGAAGCTATCCACATGAGAATACAACCAAGAAGACCAAAATCCGTGCAAGGGATCACTAGAGCATGAAGCGGATGGAAGAAGTGAGGGTATCATTCCAGGAAAGTTTTGGAGACCTGGCAGTCAGATTCCCATGAGAATCTGGCAAGGAGCTGGCACTGAAGCAACAAGCATGGAGGGATTTGATTATGAAAACAAATGCCAAACCAACGGACCGGTGTGTAGAAGGAGAAAAGTTGTCTTCTAAGCAAAGATGGAAGCTCAATCTACCCAGTTCAATCTACCAGTGCTTCCTGGGACAATGAGCCTCCTGCCTCATGGCAAAGTTGGTTCCCAGTGTCCAGAGTAAATGAATCTTCCTAAGGTTGAAGCTACTACACAGATAAAATTGAGGCTTGGAGAACAGAGAATAAACATCAGTTTGGGCAACAAGACAGGTAACTTTGTAGAGATCTATTGTTTACTTTTCTACAGATGAGCTACAAGCATTTAATTCAAATTCTTCATAAAAAGAAAAAAGAGCTTGGAATAATTATCTTGAATTCATATAAAATAAAATCTTACTTCCATAAAATTTGATACACAAATTCTCACATTTTGAAGCATAATGAATAACAATATATTCAAATTCAAGAATATTTTATGACAAATTGTAGCTATGGGTAAAGTTACAGATTAATACATGAAACCCTAGGTAACCATCTAGAGTTATCTTAAAATCAGAAAGAATTTTGTAAAATTTTATATTAAATGTACCAAAATTAACTATAAAATAGACTGTTTCATTTACCCGATGTTTCACTTTCTGCCCAGAGAGCTGCAGATCCAGATAAAGTTCTCTGAAGCTGTCCGCGGTTCCCTTGTTTAGACTGAAGATGCTCAATGAGAAATGGGATTGGCTGGTCTGGTGTCTCAGTTATCAGTTTGGTCATTAATTCCTGAAGGCAGAATATAGAATACATTTACATCTAACAATGATAACGAACGCTTACTTAGCACTAATTATTGCCAGTCACTGTTCTAACTGCTTTATATACAGCAACTAATTTAACCCCAATAGCAATCTCTTCAGGCAGGTACATGTTACTGTCCTCACTTTGAGGAAATTGAAGTTCAGAAAGGTAAGTTGTCTATTTACACAGCTAACACATGGAAAAGACAGATTTATTTATTTATTTATTTATTTATTTATTTATTTATTTTTATTATTCTACTTGGCCAAAGACATACTAGAAATTAAACTCCTTTTTAAAGTATAGTGTAAGAATTTGACCTTCAGATGACCATTTTGAGAGATGCCATTATAAACTCAACTCTTGATAAGCCTCACCATATACCTTATATACCAATATTTTTTTCTTCCCAGCCATATATAAATATTCCAAAATGAAGACAATTTCAATGGAATGGAATAAACAAGTAACAAGTCATAGAATCACAGAAACCAAACTGTCTTAAACTGGCCTCCGAACAATATAGAATTTCTTTTCTCCAAAAGCCCTGATGGGTATTCATTCTTTGGACTTTTTTTAACCAGTTAAGCAATGGAAATGTCTCTACATGTCAGTCAGGCTGTTCCATTTTTGGACAGTTCAAATGATACCTTCAACTGGGCAGAAATCTAAGAGGAATACCTCCATGTTTATTTTTTTTTCCTATTGGAAACAACAAAGAGCAAGCCCCAATGTGAGGCCAGTTAGAACCCCTCGGTGGTTCTCACACGAACTGCTGCCAACCTACGGGGACGTCGTTTTGTACTGTGTGACGGGGTCTGTGTGACATTGCACGCACCACTTTACATTCACATCGGTCACATTTCATCTTGTTGGGTTTAGTGCATAATTTTAGTCTGTCAATTATCATTGCAAGTTCAGAATTTGTGAGAGACGGTGGTTCTTGTGAGTAGGCCAATCAGATACCCAAGGGCTAACAGAAGGGATGCTGGAAATTTCCCCTCCCATTGTCTTTTGTGTGGGCACCTATTTGCTTGCCTTGAAGGCTCCTCTCTCAGATGTTGAGATGGCTGGCTTGTTCTCATTTGTCTGTAGTGATACCTTCTTAGATATCAAACTCCACAAATCTTTACCACTTCTTTATTTTATTTTCTCCACATCATTTAGCACTCTCCAGATTCATCTCATTTAATATTTGCTCATCTGTTTGTGTCTGTGTCTACTCCTCCTTAATTGGCACTAAGAGCAAGGACTGCCTGGTTTGATCTATACTCTCTCCCTAGGGCCTGGAAGTCCACTGCTCATAGGTGGTGTTGACTGACTGACTGACTGACTGACTGCTTAGCTTACTGCCCACAGGTAAATATTAGTTATTAAAGTGACCTACTGTCCTAATAAACAATATTTCAAATATTCACGGACTCCTTAACCTGGCAAAATATACTCTTCTAACCTCTTACACAAGCAACTGCTGTCATGCTATTTCAGGGATATTAATTGACACACAGATTTGTCTGAGGAGAGGCTAAATGGATGTGTAGATGACAAGATTCCAGTGTGATTGCAAAGACAGAAAACAACTCAAGGTATCTAAAAAATGTACAGATTAAACTTAGAATTGGAAGTAAAAGTGGTATAATTGTAATTAACCTGGTTTATTAATAACTGGAAAGGAGCAAATGGAAGGCCAAATTTTATAGGCATTTTTACAGCTCTGCCAAGAAGCTACAGTTAAACACTTCCCAGGAAGCCCCTGGTCTATTCCCCCAGATCGCTGGGGGAAGGGACTGGACAGGAGAAGAATAGATGCATGCCTAGCAAAGTCTGGGTGACATAGGGAAGATACTCACCTGTCAGTCACACCTGGGAACAGGTCTTAGGCCAGAGTAGGCATGACCACTGCAAGTGCAGGAAGATTTGAGCTATAGAAGCTCCTAAACAAAGGAGTTCCCTCTCTTGGTTCTCTTGGGACTCTTGTTGCAGGAAGTATGCATGCTCGACTCCCCTGCACTTGCTCACATGGCTCACATCCATGTGGACCCCACACAATGGACTGATGGACTGCAACTAGCCTGATGCTATACCAAACACAGCTCCACCACGAAGCAGAAACTCTGGACACTGGCTTTGCTTCCAGCTCTGCTGTATTTCCAGTTGCACATCTCCCAGAACTGGATTAAGGGGAATAGGACTTTGCAAAGCAAAGGCTGCAATTCCACACAAATAAAGCTTTCTACTACATCTCATTCCCCCGAGGGGAACTCTAAAATTCTTATTCCAGCAGCACCCCAAGGACCTTACTCTCACTACCAATGGAGAAAGACTATCCATGCAATTTCCAATAACAAAAGGAGCAAAGGAATTCTACCATAAATATACCATGAAGCAAAATATAAGGCAAATGTAATACCTTTTAATATTCTGAAAATAAGGTAAGCAAACAACCAGTTGATACAGTCTTCTTTATTTATGTTAGTTAAAATATGAATTTTTTTAGTTATAACCTCTTTCACAAATGAGGTCATTCCCCTGTTGTGGTAAAGCAATGCAGGGTTCAATTAAACCACAGTTATAGATCAGTGTAATGCAATTTAAAATATTTTAGATCTTGCTTGTGTAGAAGATGTGCTATATCCTATTTGAAGTCATTGAACATTACAAAATCTATGAAAAAATAGAAGAAAAGATAAACAGAAGGACCTACTAGATGGCTCTTGTCATAGAAGGCCTGGTCACTCAGATAAAGCTCATTAGATCAGATAACAGTTTTAAAGCCACAGCAATTTCTATCCTGAAATGTCTGAAAATCTCATGCACTTTTTTTTCAGTCTTTCAAATGGGATGGAAAGTTTCTGTGGGTATGCGTTTTCTTTTAAAATAAAATGAAGCATTCCTATCTTGTCTTGAGCAGATAGCTCATACAGTCATAATAAACCAAGTAATCACTGTTAAATTTTTTTATCATCAGTCTAGAAACTAATTTTGGATATCTTTATATTCCATTAATGAATATATGAGATTAAAGAAAGGATACATTCAGACATAAGCAAAATGAAAAGAGTTAATGTTTGCAATAAGGTATGTTGGGCATCTTGGTTGGGTCAGAATCTAATTTGTGATGAATATTCACCCCGGAATAACATGGGTTTGAACTACTTGGGTCCAGTTGCACACAGAAATTTTTTTTAACACAGTCGTTATGTTTGGGGGAATTAAAAGTTATATGGATATTTTTTGACTGGAGCAGGTGCCTCTAACCCCCATGTTGCTCAAGGGTGCACTGTATTGTATTTGTAAGAGGAATTATCTTTCCTCTCACTCAATCTATATATTTCTTGGCATTAGAACTTGAATAATTTTGAGTGTTTGAACTTGACAGAAACCTCTTTCCTGAATATGAAAATTTAAATCCTGGGGTTTGCAAAGATGCTCCTGGCATTAAAAGTATCGACCCCCCTGCACTCACCCCCCGCCACTTGCAAAGATTTATGCAGAGACAGAACTGTGGGCTGACAGATTGAGATGAGAAGGAGTCACGCAGCTGGAATTTCAGGTGGGAGACAGAGACTGGACTGCAGAAAATCTCACAGCCTTATCATTCACCATAAGTAAAAAGTATTCTAGACGAGCAAGCCAGCATCCAGGACAGAGGCTGAATGTCTTTAGGGAAACGTTCTGTGCATACAGGGTGGGAGAGGGGCTCATCGACAATTCTTATCATGAGGGCAGCAGTTGTAAGATAGAATTGTCCGGGTGCCAGAATCTAACCAAGGTGTAGACTTTGCACCTGGCCATCTGCTACGTGGGACACCTGTCCACTGCGCTGGTGGCACTGCCCAGGCACACCCAGACCCAGATGCAAGTGCAGGCACACTGTTACTTTTCCCAGAAAGATGAGACATTCTAGCACATCTTAAAACACGGGGAAAAGGCCCCAGTCAGTGTGGCTCAGTTGGTTGAGTGTTGTCTCATGCACCAAAAGTTCACTGGTTTGATTCCAGGTCAGAGCAAATGCCAGGATTGCGGCCTCGATCCCCAGCGAGGGGTTGTTCAGGAGGTAGCCGACTGATGTTTCTCTCTCTCTCCTCTCTTCCTCTCCCTCTAAAATCAACATATTTTTAAAATTAAAATAAAAAAAAATAAAACATGGGGAAAGAAAAGGATGAAAGAAAAATTTAGGTACCATATGGACCAGCTCTATTCTTGGTAGAAAATGCTCATAGTTTTCAGTCACTGCTATTAAAACTACTGTTCAGTTTCAAAAATAGCTCTGATCAGCCCAGAGTTGGTTTTAATAAGTGTTTGAACTCTAAGTAACACTCATCCCACCGTGTTGGGTCATGTTTACCAGTGCAGGTCTCGCAAAGTTCCTGAGGTCAGGAAACATGTCTTAAACATCTTTGTTTCCCCAAAGCAAAGAACAGTCCTTGGTACATTTGCTAAAAGGAGGAATGAATAAGTGAATAAATTATGTCAATAGCATTACTATAAACCTTCCATAGCTGCATATTACCTGCAAAAACAAGAAAATATATACTCCTTTCGTGGCACTCAAAACTGTCTATAAATTCTTCCAAATCGGCAGTTTCATTTTTTTTTCTTTATTGATGTTAGAGACAGAGAGAAAGAGAAAGGGAGAGGGAGGTAGAAATATTGATGAGAAAGAACATCAACTGGTCACCTCCTGCATGTTCCCCACTGGGGATTGGGCCCACAACTGGGCATGTGCCCTGACCAGGAATCGAACTGGTGACCTCTTGGCGCATGGGTCGATGCCCAACCACTGAGCCACACCGGCTGGGCTAACTATTTTCTTTTTGTTACAGAATGAACCTCCTAGGTTTGGGTTTGAATGAATGAATTGTTGTTGGTGCCATTCACCATGATATGAAACAATGAGCACGAGGTAGTTCAGAGGTGGAAGACCATGAGTTCCAGACTGGGCACCATAAAAAGAGCTGTGAGGTAGCCAGATAGATGAGATA